TAAGATTCCCTGAACTCTTTTTTTTTTTAAATTAAGAATTCCCCAAATATATTAATATAAATTGACAAAACAGAAAATGGGGGGGGGGCTCTAATTAGCAAGTTGAAGTCAAAGATTTTTGATTTGTTAGTGATTGCTGGTGAATTTACAGCTCTTATGGTCCTTAAAAGAACCACTGCCAGGTCTACCAGATGATGGTGTTTTCATCAACGTTTACAGCTCATGTTGCTGATAGGAACATGTGGTCACCTAATCTTTTGTAATGTTTCCATCTGTAAATATTGACAGGGTACAATCAGACAGCCTACTTTTGCAGACACCACTGTGGTTTTGACTAATTTCTTTGCATTGGCCTAATCAAACGTAATGTTTCTGTTGTAGGTAACTCAGTCCAGCAGATCGGCCTCAGCCTGCCAGTCATCATCATCAAACAGGAGGAATCCTGCCAGTGTCAGTGTGCCTGCAGGGACTCTGCTAAAGACAAGAGTGCAAAGAGTGCCTCCTCCATCGTTTCAGCCCCATCACAGCAGCAGCCACCAGAGCCCCCTCCCCCGCCACTATCAGAGCCTCAGCACCATTCAGCAACTTCATCTTCCTCCTGCTGCCCCCCCAAGTCTTCCTCCAAGGTGGGTGAGGTGACACTGGAGGCCCCCTCTTCTTCTTCTTCTTCCTCCTCCACAGCTCAGACTTTCTCCGCCAACCCACCCTCATCTGACGGGTTAGCCAGTATGGACGTCTCAGACTTCCTCTCCCTGCAGAGCCCTGAGACAGCCGCCAACATTGAGGCTCTGCTGCTGGTCGCAGATGACTTCAGCATGGCTACTGATGGCAATCCTTAAAAGAGCTGCCTTTGGAGTCTGGCACCACATGTTTGTCTGTTGCACCCACTCACCCACAAGCGTCGATTCCACCCACACCTCGAGTCACTCTCCGAAGTTATGCCTCTTCTTTCACCCTATATAGCGTGTGCATTGAAACCCCCCAGTACCTGCAGTGCATTCTGCTTTGTATGGCACTGGGACAGGTATAGTACGGTATATATACAAAGTATGTGTAACTTTTCTGTTGAGTCTCATTGCAGTAGTTGAGTTTTAGCAACTTAAACGCTAATTAATGCAGGGAAAAGGCAGTAGATCCTTTGTTGAAAAGATAAACTCTTTATAATAATCCTCACTCTGAATTGATTGAAATGACCAAGTGTTGTCCAAGCACTGATAATTTAGAGTTTCATTGTCCTGGCTTGAAGGTCACACACCTTAGCAGGAAAACAAAACTCGTCTGTCCTTGTACTGTATCCTCGTACTGTACTACAGGTCCTAACAAATTCTTTAGGCTGGTATGCAAATAACCATAATGCACTGTATATGAGAGGATTTTGCTACAATTTTAATCAAGCATTGCTCCCAGCAAAAATTTAAAGAGCTTGGTCACACAGCTTCCCACGTGGCTGTCTTGTAATATGAAGTGATTTCCTCAGTATTTTGTTTGTTTTCTATGAAGACTAGTGCGGTCCAGATAATGTGATGATTCTTTTTTACTTTTTTTGAGAACCTGTGATCAGATCTGCCTGTCTCTTTAAGCGACATAACGTCAATAAGTTGCCTATAACTTAAACTAACTTAAAATTGTATATGTTAATTTATTTAAATGCCTGATTCTTTCAATATAATGATACTATCATCTTTGAGATAGCAGAAATAATCTATTAATTTATTCCAATCACATGTTTTTTTTAAGTTGAGCTGCTTTTTTGTTACTGAATTGTTTTACCTTCATAAGAACGTAAGTATTGTAAAAACGAGGCACGTGTAGTAGACTGCACAGTCAAGCAAAATATCCTCTAGGATCTGCTTGTTTGCAAAAACTTGCCCACAACTAAACTATAAGGAACTACTGTCAACATCCCATCTTCTTTAGGGTTGTGACCCTCTCAGGGATGCATCAAGTCATAACTGTTCCTGGTTCCCACAATTTTCTCAGACATGCATTTTCCTTGCCGGACGGCCCACACTCGCAGTAGCCCTACGTTTTTGCTGCACTCTTCCCTGTTTATTGCACACTAACTTGTAAAGTTGGTTCTGCATATCGGTTAGGCTGATTTGCGGCACCACTACAGAGTTTTTGTATAAACCTGCTGTAAAGTAGCATTTAAAAGATGGTGTCCTGGTGACAATGTAAATATGGTACATTTTAGTGTAAACATCTTTGAAAAACTTGTAGATTATTCTAGAATTTGTATTTTTGTATAGACTTTCGAATTGCTAACTCTGAGTTTGAACCTAATGTATACTCTGTTCATTCTTCTCCCCGTCACGTTTATGCAGAAGATGTTTTTGCTGTGTTTTAGTTGAATAGTTATACAAGCCGCTGGGTTTCTGTATAGTCCACATTGTAAGAAAATATATGTAATGCATAGCCTCTGGCTCAGAGTATAATTTAACAGTATTGTTTCGCATGGGACACAATGCAATGATGATAGAGTAAAGGCATTATGCCCTGTAAATGACAGTAGAGCTTCTTGGCCTTACAACATTAATTGTTCTGTAAGCCTCCTTGCCTTGATAGCCTCTGCTTTAGTAATCGGCTTGTTGACACTCTGTTTTCACATTCACCGACTCTCAGGCAGCCATTCCAGCAGCAGATCACACCAAGGCAAAAGCATGGAGATTTTCCAGTTGTGATATTGGGAAAGTCGAATGGGCTTTATCAATATAATACTATAATATTTCAGCATTGACTTAAAAAAAGAAATTAAACTCAGCTATATAACAGATGCAGACATTATGATTCTGCAAATTGGAAATTAAAAGCAGAATCAATCTTTAAAAAAAAAAAAAAAAAGCAAAGTTTTAATCTGGCTCCTCTGGTGTGATTTAGGAAATTTATAGGAGCCACAAGGCAAATTTCCTCCCATAATACAATATTAATTAGATGTCTGGAGCATCCAAAGCTGACATTGACTCCAGTGGATATTAAAATAATTCCCACAAAGAAAAAAAAAAATACCACCGGGAGTCGTACCTATTCACCATTATACATTTTCATACAGATCATTGGTGAACCCAACTATGCAATTTTAAGTGTGGTATTTACAAGTTCAGTTACCGACTCAAAGATTAAATGGTTACTTATGCCTCCCATTAAGTAATATTTGCTGCAATATAGCTTTGAGCTACAGTGCTCCTGTATATTTTGCATTGAATGGTGTGAATCTGGACTGTAGTGAATCCATGAAGTACTGTTTCACAGCCACCCTATGGCCTCTGTAATTGGTTTAATATCAGCTGGATTTGCATGTTTAAGTATTTGGCAGTTTTGTTATTTTAATCAGATATTTTCCATTTTAAGCTTAAATAGGTTTAGAATTCCATCCAGTTTCATCATTTCGCACGCTTCAGTTTAACATGTGAATTATTGGTTTCTTTCATTAAACAGAGAAATTTTGCCTTTGTCGGCCAAGTTCACGTGGCTAATATTTACATCAGTCTGTAGTGTCAGCAAATCAATTGTGGCGACATTTGTTTGGAAGCAGATTGTTCACAAGTGTAGATTCTTTGGAATTTCTGCCATCAACATTTTCCACCAAACAGACTATATTTTCCAGGAAGAGCTGGGGCAGGGAGAAAGAGGAAAACGACATGCTTCCAAAGGAATGTCTTGACACCCAAAGAGTGAGGAAATGTTAAGAATTTGTATTTTTTAAAGAATGTATAATGTGAAACTGTTTGCTTATGCGTTTCATATAAATATGAGTAACTTTCTGAATTGAGAGCAATATAATACTAATAAAACCTTATCCTTGTCACTGAAATGTTTGCTTGGTGAAGCATTTTGTGTTACTTTAATAGAATTCATTCATTTAGTTAGATAGCAATCAGCAGTTGGGAGGGGTCTTCCTCTTCTCTTCATTTCTGGAGTGGTGCGGACACATCCTGGGGGGATTTCCTCTGTAACATTTAACCAGTATCATTTTTTTTTTTTTAAAACCACTAACCATTTGTAGTAGAATTCAGAGACCAGAAGAAAACTCACTTCTAGGGCATGACGCAAGTCCTTCAAGTCATTCTCGATCTTTTTGCACAGGGCTATTTTTTCAGACAGGTCCAACAGTCTGTCCTCGATGTCCTGTAGAGCCTGCGGAGGACGTGTTGGTTAAAATGCCTAGCACCATCAGTCTAAAATGTCATGCTGTGACTCACCTGTCTAGTCTCGGAGCCTGCCTCATCAACGCGCCCAGACGGCAAATCCTCTGCGCAACCTGCAAGTGTTCAAAACATACCTGGACAAACCCGCTGATAACATGAAAGCTGGAGGGCAGCAGGCGACCTTACCAGTTTCCGAGGCCATGATCAAATACACATTTGTCTTGCAAGCTCAGCGTGTTTCATAGAGGAAGGGCATTCGGTGTTTTTAAGCAGGTGTGCTCAGGTGATTTATATTTTACTAATTAGTGAATGACGAGGGAAAGAACTATCTGCCCAGGCCACTCTGGACATATGTTTCTACCACTGGGGGAGGACAAAAAAGGCACCAATAAGTGAAAGGGTATATTTCGGGGTATAGTTTCCCATTTTTGACTTAACTACTCAAAGTTCTGAGAAATTCACTTGAAGTTAATAATCTGTTTGGGGTTTTTGTTGGTTTTTTCCCCCTATAAATAGCAACAAAAAAAAGACATAGGTTTGTTTTTTCCCAGTGAAAGTGTCTCGTATTAAAACATTTTTATTCACTGCTGTTTTTCCTCTTTTTCCGTAAACGTGATGCATTTTATTTTAAAATTTTATTTTTGATATAACCAAAACCAGAATCATTATTAATTAGCAAAAAAAAAAAAAAAAAAAAAGAGAAAAAAAACACAGGGCACACGCGGTAGAAAAAGAGAGAGAGAGAGATATCTCTTTAGAAATGCTATAAGTATATGTCAAGTGTGAAATTATACTCGTTTTTATGGCGGTCATTGGTATTAGTCTGCATTTTTCCGTGCCGCTGGCTCTTTAATTGTTGTCGTCATAGATTGGGGGCGTAACCCGGAAAAATTCTATCATCTGGTCCCACCACAACACGTTGCTCGTGTGAGACAGGGTAGTCCTCCGGATGAACGCTTGATTTTATGAAGCTGGTATGTAGTATTGCTGCTGTATTAGTAAATACATCTAGAGGAGTTCACGGTTCAGTCGCAGCTCGTCGGATCAGTGCAGAGATGTTTAAAGAGCTCAAGACGAAAGTGTTGCGTCTGTTACCGCCGACCTCCAACGGACCGACGGTCCATCGGGACGAGACAGGTACATGTGTCTAACATTCAAAGTGGACGTAGGTCTCGCTTAGTGAAGCAGAGTGTGTTTGTAAACAACCGGCTCTGATTGGCGCTAAGCAACGTAAACACTGCACCATGTTGCATCAGATTCTTGGTTTTCCTGTTATGTGTGACTCACAGCTAACCCGATGTGATTCTAACATCCAAAACTAAGCTCCAGTTAAGTCACAGTAGAGTGAGCACTGCCAGTTAGGATGAACTGCTTACTTTGTAGCTGTTTGCCCAAACTAGAAATTAGTGGCAGAAATTCAAAGTTGTACACCTAATTCTTGTTGTTGTAGTCATTATGTATGCTGTATTCCACTGTAGAAAAAGGAAAACAAAAGTTAAAGAAATTATTAAAAGCCCCAAACTACCATAACGTTCATGCCTCTGTACTGTGTGAAAACCTCAGGTCCTTATCTGGCCCTATCCAAATGGAGTTAAATTACGTATTTTGCCTCCTCGGATACTTGGGTTGAACTTAAGCAGATCCTTTTGACAATCACTGCTTTAACAAGTTTAACATTTAAACAGGTGTAGAATGAAATGTACTAAGACGATGAGTATGTTGACAGGTGTTCTTAATGTTTTGAAACTGCTTCTACAAAAATTTGAGAAAGAATGGGTCTCTGAGCAGCTCAGTGAGTGAGTAGGAAGCCACCTGTGCAATAAGACAAGTTGTCACATTACCTTGCTACTAAATATTCCACAGTCAGCTGTGAGTGGTATTATACCCACTCAGCCATGAAGTGTGATTTTATCACTTCATGGCTGATGAAGTGTGATCACAGTGCAGACTCGGCGGATGCTGAGATGTATAGTGTGCCGAGCTTGCCAACTTTCTGCAGAGTCAGTTTCTATGCACCTCCAAAACTTCACATGGCATTCAGATTCGCTCAAAAGCAGTTCATAGAGAGCTTCATGGAATAGGTTTCCATGGCTGAGTGGCTTACATCACCAAGTGCAATGCAAAGCAATACACTGGTGTAAAGCACGCTGCTACTTGACCCTAGAGCAGTGGAGACGTGTTCTCGGGAGTAATGAATCACATTTCTACATCTGGCAATCAGTTGCCAGGAGAACAGAACTTGTGTGATTGCAATGTGCCAAGTGTAGCGTTTGGTGAAGAGGGGAATTATGACGTCTGGTTGGAACTCCTAATGCTTCAGCACACCAAAACAATTTGGACAATTTCATGCTCCTGACTTTGTGGGAATAGTTTGGGGATGGCCCCTTACTGTTCCAACAGGACTGCACACCAGTGCACAAAGCAAGGTCCATAAAGACATGGATGAGCGAGTTTGGTGTGCAAGAACTTGACTGGACTGCACAGAATCCTGACATCAACCCGACAGACACCTTTGGGTTGAATTAGAGCAGAGACTGTGAGTCCAACATCAGTGTTTGACCTCATGCATGCACTTCTGGATGAATCTGGATGGTTAAAATTCCCATAAACACAATTCCCAGCTGAGCTGAGGCTTCTATGGCTGCAAAGGCTGGGCTGACATATTAAATCCTCTGGACTGAGAATGGGATGTCACTCAAGTTTATATGTGTGTGTGTGAAGGCAAGCAACAAATATTTTAGCATTATAGTATATAGTGTGATTAGAAGGTGAGATTGCATCTGGAAAGGTGTTACATCACCTGTTCAATTGTGTGAGTAGGATTTCATTAGGTTGCTTACCTATTCACACTTCAGTTGTGTACTTTTGTTTTGGTTTTTTTTGGTTTTTTAGCTACTTCAGGCGTGTACTTTTTTGGTAGTCAACAAACATATTACACTATACATATTTCTTCCTGTTTTATCGCTCCCCCTAATGTATTTACATTGCATTCACGATAGCTGATGAGCCTAAATTTGTACCTTATACATAAAGGAAAATGAAAGCAATAAAGCTGGGGGAACATGTTTAGAGTAAACATTTAATTTAGATGCCCTAACCTCCTCATACCATCCATTCATACTGTTGTGTCCTTCTGTGGATGACGTCTCATTAACACCCCTTGTTTTTGAACTGCAGATGGTGCTGAAATCCTGAGTTGTACAGTAAAGGCCCTGAAAGAGGGTCACATTGTTGCGGTGCCCACAGATACCATCTACGGCCTGGCATGTCTGGCCCAAAACTCCGACGCCGTCAGAAAAACGTATGACACTAAAGGACGAAACGGACAGAAGCCGCTGGCCATCTGTGTAGGGGAAATTCAGGATATCTATAAGTAAGTGTGCTTTTATTTCACTTTGATCAGGGCACATGTTGTGTAATTGCTTCATTCTAAGTGCAGTCCTCCTCTAAGCCATCTATTTTGCACAAACATATTACTCATTTCCTGAAGAGTCACACATGCATGAGGCACAGATACCATCTCCACTCAAATAACACATTTTACATTTTGAGTGACAGGCACACCTGCTGTCAAAGGACACCTCGGTAATTATTATTCGCAACTTTATTCTGTGACTGTATTTTCTATCGCTGTGCAGGCATGTCGCATTTCTTTGAGATTTGTTAAAGAAATCTCAAAGTGAAACAAATTAAATCAGAGAATAGTGGATATTCCCAAAAACTATTCTGGCCTGAAAAACAATTATTTTATTATCAGATAGTTATTTTGGCTATCAGTCATTTGCTTCATTAAAATTCAGAACATGATGAAATGGCCCAAAGCAATTTTTCCACAATGCAAATTGGTGTCGTGACATCATGAGTTCAAAACTTCATTGCAAAAGACAAAACAGGATCAGAGCAGAGAATCAAATAAAACACAGCTGCTTTTTTTTGCAGTGATGCAGTCATTAATGGTCATTTATGTTGTTTTCCTTATAGTTTAGGGAGCTAGATTACACACAAGTAAGGTAATGTGATGTCATGTGCAGGTACTGCAAGGTGAAGGTGAAAAAAGAGCTGTTAGGTGACCTGCTCCCTGGTCCTGTCACCCTGGTGTTTGAAAGGTCTGAAGAACTGAACACAGACCTGAACCCCTTTACCTCAGTGAGTTTGCTTCTTTTTCATTGAATAGTGCTGTTTGATCATAAGTGTGAATTGTTGTTTACACATCCATGTCTTCCTCAGCTTGTAGGTGTACGTATCCCAGATCATCCCTTTATGAGGCAACTTTGTCAGATGTGTGGGGAACCACTGGCACTCACAAGTGCCAACATCAGCTCACAGACCAGCACAGTGGAAGTACATGTAAGTACTAAAGTAAATGATGTTTTTGTTTCTGTCAGTTTCAAGTATGTTAACCTCCTAAGACCCGAACTCTTTCATGGCATGCATTTTTAATGTCTCTTTGCTATTTGAGCTGATTGGGATCTGATGAGTGTAAAAACAAAGAATTATGTATATTTTTGTTTGTTTTTGTTTCGGAGAAAAATGAGATCCACATATGAGGACATTCGCTTTAAATTTCGATAGAGCAGTGGCAGTATAATGTCCTCGTAAGTGGATATCAGGCCCTTGTAGAGCAAAATTTTGTATTTTACATATTTCTTAAATGTGATGTCAACGTATGTGGACGCCAGGTCCTAGGAGGTTAAATTTCAAGTACACCTACCAGACAGACACAGTTGCCCCAGATTTGCCACCTGCACATCCACGATCCCAATCTCTTTTTCCACCACATTATTAAGGTGCTCTATTGCATTGAAATCTGGTAACTGTGGGCTCCATTTGAGTGAAGTGAATTCACTGTGATGAAAAAAATTACTTCACTTCATTCATCTTTCTTCCCCATTATGATACTCTGTTTGAACTTCAGCAGGTTGTCTTTACATGTGTAAATCATTGACTTGGTGCCATGTGATTGGCTGATTAATTATTTGTATTATTGAGCAGTTGAACAGGCGCACTTAACATAGTGAGTGTATGTAGCTCTGAATATTGCTGGGTTTATCCTCTTAAGGAGTTCCAGGAGCTCTGGCCCAAACTAGCTGTGGTTGTTGATGGTGGACCGATAGGAGACCAGAGCCGCCTCGGATCAACAGTAGTCGACCTGTCAGTACTTGGCAAATACAGCATCATCAGACCAGGGTGGTAAGTTCATCCAGACGCTTGTTCCAATAGTTTCTCTCCAAGTGAGATAAAACTATCTGATGTAACTGAATGTTTAAGCATATCATTTAAACTCCTTCAGAGAACTTCAGGCACATTTTACAACTGACAAAAAAAATTGACTGGAAAAAAAACATTTTCAAACCAGAACTGAGCAAAAGTAAACTGACTGAGTCTGATGTATTAAAATATCCAAAGTAAGCAGTCATACGTTGCTCAAGTCACCTGAATTAGAACTGGAAGTTATTCATATAGCACCAGTTTATTCCATGACTTGAAGAAGGGGAAATGCATCCGCACTGACTCACTGTTGCTTTGAAATACCCAGGTGTTTCCAGCCTCTCCCAGTGTTACAGCACCAGCTATAGTATGAATCTCCTAAAACAAAACTTAAATATTGAAATACCCACCACAAAAAATAAGGAGGCATTTTGCAAGAACAAGTCTTAGTTTCATTAAAAAACCATATTTGGAGTCAGTCTGTCGCATCGTGTTAACACTCTTCTTTCTCACTCTGACCCTTACACCCCCTCTGCCCCCAAACCACCCATGTTTCCTCTGAAGTAGACTTGGTACATTAAACAAGAAATGACTTTAATTTTGATTTCAGTGCCCTTTCTTCTACGGTTGATGTGCTCAAGCGCAAATATGGACTGTCAGAGCTCTCTGGGGAAGAATGACCTTTGAACTCTCCACACTCCAAAAATCACGCACAACCAGCTCTGACCCGGGGCTACTTGGGAGAAGATGAATCCATGAATCAGCCTTTGCCGGGGAAGACTGTATCTCAGGAGGACTGAAACTGCTGATGGACGATTTTGTTCCAGTGGCAGCTTCAAAGTCTTGGGTATCTTTCCTTATGTCTTAGATTAGCATATTTTGTATATGTTTCTGTCATTACATTATTTGGGAGTTTAAGCTTTAAACTATCATTTATACAGAAATAGGTCAGCTGTATAGTACTTTAAGTAATGTGGTCATGGGAGGAAGAATGGTTTGAGCCAGCCTTTTCGCAACACGATCAGAGCTGTAGTGAACACATTTTAATGGTCTGATTGAATCTGTGTGATAAAATAAATCAACTTTATTTAAGGGGGCTGTAAACTGTTTTCTTTTTTTCTTTTTCTTTTTTTTGTTTGTTTGTTTGTTGGTTTGTTTTTTTATCTTTTTTTTTCTGACAGCGTGAAGATTGCACTTCAATTGTTAGCATCAACACTTGCAGTAAATCCTGTTTTACAGTGTAGACTACTAATACTGGCACATTTGGGTTGTTTCGGTTGGCACATGGATATAATTTGTGGAATTCCTCTCATTTGAATGTTAATAATTGGAGTACATGATTAAATCTTCAGTGTCTGATTGGACCTTGATTAACAGATGGTACAACATTGGCAAATCCACAATAAAATTATATATTTTTTTCCCAGTCTCACAGTTTTATCCATGCACAAGAAGCTATCTGAGATTTATTTCTGTCTTTATCCACTGGTGTCTGGATTTTCACTCAAAACAGCTTCTTAATGGAGGGTGAAATCAATAGAGCAATGTTAAGTGTTTAAAAAGGAGCAGAAACCACTTACTGGCAACCTGGACAGGGAAATCAACTTCGGATCATTCAGAGAACGCACTTTTATTCTCAAAAACGCCTGTCTCTGCGAAACCTTTCATTTTAAAAGCTATCAGAATCTTAATCAAGTCTATACAGAGTGTGCCCCAGGGTGCCCCAGTCAGTGGGCAGGTTTATATTCATTAATGCGTTCAATCACTTTGAGCCATAGACTTTCATGTCCTGACTTCTTGCTTCAGTGGAGAAAAAAAAGCAGAGTCCCATATGCTTACAGTGAAGTCTTTTCATATAGGAATTACTCAATCTCCAATTGTATTTGGGTAGATATCGGGTCTGTGGTGTAGTACTTGACACGTTATATGGGAAAGATCCCCAGCTTGAGACAAAGAGGAGACACAATCCCAGCCTCGGGGACTCACAAGCTTGCGTACTATTGACACAATGGGAGGGTTGTGTCAATAGTACCTAGAGTAAAATCTGTGTCAGAGGCCTCAGGAAATAAAGGAGCGGTTGAAATTACCCAATTTTATTTGGGTAGATCAGAAATGAGTATTCTTGGTAAGTTAGTTTGTTGGTGAAGGATGGCAAGAGTAAAAGAGTTTATGAGATGGTAGTGAGACCTGTTGTGATATATGGTTTAGAGACAGCGGCAATAACGAAAGGGCAAGTTGTCACGCTGGAGGTGGAGTAAAAGATGTTAAGATTTTACTGGCAGAATGGACAAGATTGGAAATGAGGATATCAGGGTGACTCTCAGTTTGGAGGCAAGGTTAGAGAGGCGATGGTGGATGTGCTGGACGAAGGATGCTGAAGATTGATGCTTTCAGGCAGGAGGACGTGCAGATGGTTGGCGTGACAGAGGAAGATGTTAGAGATCGAGTGAAATGGATGCAGGGGATCTGCTGTGAAAAACTGTCATGTTCTGTGTTTTTACAAGTTGAGCTAACATGCTATAATGTTCCAAATTTACCTTTACAAATTATGATGTTGTGTGACAGTGACAAGTTGTAAAACACCACATCATCCCCATTTTAAAAAGCTCTCTGAACCTGGGTAAAGGGTCAAATTGTATGTTATGGATAAATGAAAACTACAGTGTCTTCAGTTCTATTATTTCACCATATAAAGGGGCATGAGATGGTGGCTTACTGTATTTAGAAATACAACAAATTATCGGGCAGACATTTCAACGTACCAATTGTGTGCGGGAGATTAGAGATTAGAGACAGACCCACAGAGCATTTTACAAGTCTGGGTTTTTTATACGCTTTGTATCCTATCTTTGAATTTGCACACACATCTATAGGACCTCTCGCATCCAGCATGTTTAAAAAAGGTAACAGCATGTCCTTCTGCACTCAAAACTATATCAATCAATCGCTCTCTTGCCTCCTCTTTCATGTGTGCACACACTTCCACTACAGCGTGCCGTTTCAAGTCAGTTTGATGAAAGCTCACATGAGCCACTGCTCCTTTTCTTTATTGAACTGCTCGGCCCAGCGGCGGGTCAGCTCCAGGTAGTGATCAGGCCCATGTGGCTGATAGTCCAAGTAAACCCGTGTCACAGTTTTTTTAGGCACAGCCCTTTCTATCTGCGTCCCCTCGTGCCATTCATTAAAAGATGTTATGGTGACAATCTCTGGGCGCACGTTGAGTGCCGCCTGCAGGGCTGTCTCGTAGTAACGTCCGTTCACCCTGTTGCGTGTGTTGTGGTTGTTCCACGGCCGAATGCTGGTGTCAATGTAACCAGGCCCCACGCTGGGGATAAAAAGGAGGTTGTTCCCATCGCAGAAAGCTTTGATGGCTTTCCAGTTCTGGTGAGAAGAGCCAAAGGAGAAGCCGTTGGAGGCAAAGTAAGTGTACATGCCATCGAAGCCGCCTGCCAGGATGTCGTGCTTATGACGCTCCTCCACAATCAGGGCTATAAAGACGGAGTCGTAAGCTGACCCACGCACGCTGTGGGAGCCAGTCGGTGTCAAAAACTCAGACCAGGACTCGGGTGGAGTTAGGTAGGAGTCATAAATGTAAAACAGAGGAAGACTCTTCCCTGTGCTGGTAGTGAACTTGTAGAACGCTCCGTGGTCGCCATACCTTAAAAAGAATATAATACAGAACATTTAACAACACAACAATAAACCCTACCACTGAGACAAAGAATAAAATATTGTATACCATTTCTTACTTAAACTGAATATCTTTTCAAGGTTTGGGACTTCTGAGTAAATCTCTGAAAGGTCCTCTTTTTCAGAGCAACCCCACATGTTAAAGTTAAAATGGCTTTTGCTTGAAGAACTCATCCATAAGTCATGAAACTGGCTTTATATAAGCTGAAATGCACCCTAAAAGTATTTCAGTGTCGTAACTGCTGTTTTTCTTGCTATGCATGCAATCTTAATGGCTTTCTATTTGAGTTGACTCAGCGATGAAGCACAGCCAGACATGCACCCACCTGTCAATGATGTACTTGATGTTGTCATGCACGCTCTGATCATTTCGTCCTCTGTATGGTTGGATGTGGAATGCAACCTGGGAGATGATAAAGCAATATGCATGTTCATTTCCATTCATTATAAAACTACATTATTAATTTATGTATCATTCAAGGTCAGCATTTACAGATGACCTCGAGAAGTATTGACTAAAAGTCAGGCGTTCCCAGGGGGAGATTCCTCATAGAAAGTTGACAAGAGTGACAGTAACTTCTCCTGGCTTGTAATCAATCAAAGTCTGACATGTTTCTAAGACAAAAATAATTCAATAAGGCCTCAGTCACACAAGAGTAAAAATAGGACCACAACCTCCATGCAACCAGGGAAAGGTGGTTGGCGAATGATTGGATTGATTTTTTTTTTTGCTATCTAGTTCAAAGTAGTTGGAGAGACGAACCATTAAGTGTTTTCAGAGAGAAACATGCATAAAACCTGAACTTACACTGTATTATTGTGTTACTTGCTTCTTATTTTTCCATCCATCCATCCATGAATCCATTCATTCTCTTATCTTCATCAGGGTATGATAATCTGATGATCTTGGTAAAATGCTTGTTGTTATTGAAAAGAACTAGCGGTGCCAGGTTGCTTATAACTGTATAAGCAATACATTTTCCACATTTCAGTCTGACCCAGTCTGTGGCTGACAGTGTTGCATTTAATGCATGGATTCCATGTCTGGTTCCAGTACACCACTACAGGTCAAGTGTGGATAGCAACATATTTGCAGCAGACAAAAGATTTGAGCTTTATCATCATTAATCACATTATTATCTCAATGAGATTGTTGCTGTTTTATCCCCGTTTTATCACTGTTTTGATGCACCAACATGGGTTTGAAGATGGTGACTGAGCGGTCTCAGACCTGGTCCCTATCTTTGAAGTAACCATATTAAAAACAAAGAGATCACAATTTGATTGGGCACGGATGCAACAATGTTGGTCACACCGCAATTACCAACCCCTGTTTTTGTAGTCATGATGGTATCACAGCTCATCAGACCTCTGAGGCCCTTTTCAGGAAAATGAGTTTCACGGTTATAATTCAGCAAAACATGTTAGTCATGCACCATTTTGACCTTGTGCAGCCCCAAAGCAATGCGTGGCATCAGGAGTCTGGTGCCTTTACCCTTGTACCTTATTACAGACTCACTGCAGTTTTCTAAAAACCCTTTAATAAGGCTATAACACTAAGAAGGCTCACCAACACAAATGTTACCCACTTACACGGACATCAAAGCACCATGTTTCCTCACTGCTCCGTGTTCACGACAAAATCTGCTACACTATAACTGTTTTTCAGCCTGAGTGGTCTGCCTCTGGAGACTATTGTAACACTCACAGTTAATGCGTCTGTTTAGAAATGGCCGTTTACAGTTCAGGAACAAACGCAGCAGAGGAACAAGGGATATGAAGTGACATGTACACAAAAAGTGCTTAAGTTGAATATTTTAAGGTGCGCCTGGAGAATTCAGTGACTTTGAATAATGCATGATCAAAGAGAAACACCACTTTTCCAGCACTGGACACTTGAGAGGAACAATGTGAAAGGAAAATGTCCTTTTTGAGATGATGGAAGCATCTAAAGGGATGTAGGCTGCCATTAAGTAAGCTAAACAAAGATGCCTTAGCCCACTTTACATGATCCAAGTCTTATCTTTGTTAAAAATCCAATGCTTGCAAAGCTCCACTAAAATATAGAATGGCATTTCACCTACTTGTTATTGGAAATAGATGTATTTTGTAGTTTTTCTGTAAGATCCATATTGTCGTTATGGAGTTAAGTGTAGAGTATTAACGAAGTAATGGAGATGTGTTCTGGACGGTCGGGATGGATCCAAATAACTGGATCACTTCTGCTACTAATAATGATACTAAGTGCTTTTATGTACAAAAAAATGTCAATTTTAACAGTGTAAGAGGCACTTTGTTTTACAAAAGAGTAATTTGAAAAGAGATTGAGGAAGGAAGGTCTTGGGCATATGAGTAAATCATATTCTAAAATCAATATTTATGAAGCTAACTCTCTGGCAGTAACAGTGAGAGAAAATGACGGAGACAATAAGATAGTACAGTAAGATAAAGCCACAAAAAAATCTATGAGATATTACAGCTCATGAAGCTGCATGATTATAACATGATTATAACAGAGGAAAATAGATACTACATCAGAGTGCAGGCTACTAGAAAACTCATTTTCCCCAACGCGCTGGCTGATTACATTTTTGGTAATTTAGAAGTAAATGAGACATAGTCAACGCATTTTAATATCTCATAAACATTGACGGTGCAGTCTGGAACAGCCCCGGTGTGATTTGTGCTGAGCAGAGTGAATTTAGTGGCATGTCATGCAGAAAGCGCAAAGGGAAGGATATGCACCAACACAAAAATATAGATTCAGACCTTTTCTGACAGTTAGATCAATTTAATATCACTTTCATTCTACAGTGAATGAAGTCGGTGGATATACACCGAGGTTGTACAGGTTTCATGTACGAAAAAATGTAGCTACTGAGTGCATCGGGAAATAAGGAAGTGTGGCTGATGCCATCATAGGGCACCCATGGGCCATATTCCCCTGTGTAGCTTCATGGCCTACTTAGGAGATAGAACTTTTGCACCCCCTCAGGGTGCAGATTGTTCACAGGCTCAAACTGAGTCATGGGACCCATGATGCACATATCCCCTCTGCTCTTTTTCTCCTACCTCCAGTTTCCAATAACCCCCCTACCCTGTCCCCACCAAGCCGCCCCCACCCTGCCCTGGGCAAAAGGACTATTTCAGCTCCACTTCGAGCTGAGGTCAAGCAGCAGCACTGCTGTGGAGGCTCATGTGATGTGCTCTCCAACATGAGCCGTGTGTGGGTGTTACTGAGATGCTATTCAACTTATATAATAAAAAGTACATTGCTTTCTTTTGCAGCATTACCCGAAGAGGGGTCAGTGTGTTTTTAGCAATGTGGCGTGGGATCGCTACCAGGATGGAAGCTGGATTTGTTTTTAGTGAGCTTGCTCGTCTCCAGTTTCCATTCACCTTCAGTCTAACTTGTACATGTTCAATTAGGTCAAAAGCTGTATGCAATTCACTGTATTCCTCTTATCTAAACCTCCATCTATCACTTTGGGTTCATATAAATGCGTTGTCAGCTCAGCATTACATCCTGCTGTCATGGAGACAGATCATGTCACTGGTCATTTGTAGCATTTTCCTTGTTTTTTTATTTTTATTGATAATTTTACTGCATGTTTAAATGTCTGAATGCAAACACTTCTTTGATTAAAAAAAGCATGTTTTTTCCAATAATTTCTTAATTTTAAAATGTATGTGTCATATTACTTTTCAGGCAAAAATGGTTCCAGCTTCTCTGATTTTATATTTTCTTTTTTGTTTATTCTTTGCTATTGAATACTTAAAGGTTACGAGTAAGTGTCCCCTAATGGGTTAGTCTGTCCATGAAAATCTTGGAAATATTAATTTCATATTCATCAGTTACGAGTGCCAGACTCCTCCTCAGTTTGGAGGATTGCTGCTGCAACATGCAAGACAGCTCAGGTCAAGAAAGGACAAAGCTGGAAACCAAGGTACGCATCATAAATACTGATAGCTCATTACTCCTGGAGGTTCCTCCCTTTGTGATATTTTTTTTGTCTTTTTTTATGAATGTATTTTTCTGATATCATACAGTAGACTATCCAAGGTGGTGAGGACTCAAAACAAAACTGCTAATTCGCTCATGCATTTCTCAGATAAGCAAGCAGCCACTTTATGTGAGCTTCTTGTATCCTGATCTGATACATTTTTGGCTGCTGCCACTGCCCTCTGTGGGACCATCCATCCTCCTCACTTGGGCTTCCCTCCCACCTTTTGTCCGGCCTTTCAGTGGAAAAGAGCACAGAAATGATTTAAGGTTGTTTTTCATCAGAGTTCCAAATTATCAGAGCCAAAGTTCTTTACCTTGTCAGCATTTTGCTAAACATTATGCAAGAGGATGCAATCCAAAGATAAATGTAGCTCTGTGCAGACATAACAGTTCAGGAAAAACAAAGAGAATTGGAAGAGGATGCTTGGAAAGACTCCACTCAACTCTGAATAATTTCATTCCAGCGCTTTCTGGAGACTGCTCTGATTGTGACCTTCTGCGCGTTTTCATTAAACACAAGGATAAGCAGCTCGTTCTTATTTCAGTAAGATACTCCAATATGCAGTTTGAAGAAAACGTGTCACAATCTGTTTTTCCTCACGTGCTTTTATGAAAATGCCATGCTTGCTGGGTGGATGATGACAATAAAGCGTGGCATTAAATTCTGTCTATTAGCTTCTCTACTGACAGCATTATGTGTAAAACCTCATCAACTCAGCCATGCATGTCTAATCCCTGCATTCTTGTCTTGCCCTTGTAGAGATGCATTATTTCGTTGCCTTCAACCAAACAGAAAAAACTCCCCAGTATGATATTAAATCTGACAGGCTAGCCCGACAACTCTTCTGCCTCTCATCGGAGTTGTGTATAGTAAGAATGAGGCCAGTTTGTGGCCGCATCTCTGCTGAAATCAAATTATGTTATCTGCACAACAGAATACAAACACCAGCATGATAATGACTTGTGTTGCAATACTGATTTGTAATTAACCTCGGTGATAACTTTTGCAAATTGTAAATACAACTTGTGAATAATGATTTTTGGTCTTGTGCATTAAAAGGTAAATATACTTCAAGAGGCTCACGGAAATATTATTACGTGTGTACATATTTGTCATTTTTAAACTGTAAAATGTTTCAATTATAAACATATTCGATTATAAATTACATATATTAAAAAAGAGCAACAAAATGTCATATTTAGAGGCTGATATTAGAAAATGTTTGGTAATTATTAAGATGATTAAATTAATGAATTAGATGTACAAATGCAGTGGTGTATTATTAATGGCACCTGCTTTAACATGGGAAAAGTCCTCAGATCTTGGCCCTTAAGTCATTGTTATTCTTCACATTAGAGCATACAGACCTGAGAACTTTCTTAATTTATTTCTAGTTCCTTGTTCCGATCCACAGTGCTGCTGAAAATCCCGTACTGCTAGCACCTCACTCTTGTTCCCCTTCATTGTCTTTCTTCGCCCAATCCCTCCATTCGTATTTGGTAAGCATCTGACACGAATCATATCTGATTACAAGCAAACACTGGCTTTAATAAGCCTTCAATACAGTGCAGCAGGGGCACCAACACAGACTCAGCTATGTCCGCTGTCATTTTCCAACCTAATTGGCAATTGGTCATGTGGTTTTACCCACATTCTGCACCGCCTCCCACGGCTCTCCACCCCACTAATGTGTTCAAGAGTTCATTCAACAACTAATCCAGCGGCAACAGCAGCAGCTCTTTGACACATTTTATGCTTTAATGCTAGAGACGAAGTCACTGCAGCCGCGAGTATTCCGAGTCAAATCCTGAGTAGCAGTGAGCAGCTTTACAGGATGGAGCACAGCAAGTTGAGAAGGCCTTAGCACCCACAAATTCCACATATAACACTGGTTCGAGATTACTATCCTATGCAGTGTTAAGCTCTTCATATGCCTCCGTGAAAGACCAGTAATCCTTCTTTTGGTCCCATGTCACTGAGGTTTTAGAAAGGGTAGTGGACAGAAATTCCAATTTTTTTCACATTTGAGCCTCAACTTTGGCTCTTGCAACAGTTCAAAATAAAAATAGCAAAATAAACAATAGCTGAGTTACTTTAGGTCTGTTTTGCTCATAGAAATCATCAATTGTAAAGACTTCTCATTTGAACCCACAAAAGCCAACACAATGAGCCACTATGAAAGACTGTAAGCAAGCCTGCACATGTTAACGACTGTCTACGTAGCATTTAATGTCATGTAGATAACTTTGGGTGTTTAATCCACACTGCAGAGTGAAACTCCACAGACACAATTCAATATGGCTCATTGTTCTCAGTGGAGTACTTCAGGGATCTGAGTTTGGTCCTCTTATGCAAATAATTCAAGTGTAGCGCATTCAGAACTAATACAAATGTGATAAAGTGTTGTGTAATTATGGACATATTCTGCCATATACACTTTGCAACCATCAGCTCAACTATTTCTAAGTGTAAATGACAGATATGAGGAATTCTTAAGATACTTTGGACACTGTTACAGCTGTTAGGAATTAGGAGAAGCCTAGCTGCTGCCATCTGACCTAGATTCTATATCGTGGTGATTTGCTGTACATTAATCCATCAGCACAGTATCCATGCGTGTTGGGCAGTAGCTACTGTTGTGTAGTAGTACTAAATTGACACTATGCTTTCCTTTTGAGAGGCAGTATAGCCATATATATATTTTCTTTTTGTTATAGTCTTTATCTAACCACAAATCTCTAGAGATGCATCTCTTGTATTTCTTAAAGGACATGCAGAATAGCTGCTGAGTGACAGAAATGATAAAGTCACTGGTTTGTTTTCCAGCAAGTTATAGTCCTAAAGTTAAAATGAATTTCACAAAATCTAATTTCTCTAACAGAGTTCAAAGCTACTGTAAACTCTGTTGTATTTCTATATGATCTGAACTTACTTTAGTTATACTTTGGCAGTATTGTTATATAGTGTGCTATCTGATTTCCTTTTTATTGGTCTGTCTTTTAGAGTTTCAATGAAGGTCAATGAAGAGGAAAGAGAAAAAAAGTTAATGTTTAAAATAGATGATTCATCTAAGAAACATCTCTCTCTCACACACACACGCACACACACGCACACATGCACACACACACACACACACACACACACGTAAAATGTGCTGACACTGCTTACCTTGAGGTTGTGTCTATATGCTGCATCCAGTACAGCTGGTACCAAATCCTCAGCAGGTTCCCCGTTGTCATCAGCTACTCCAGGAGGATACCAGGACAGGACCAGAACACCTGGAGGGAGATAAGCACTTGATCAAAGATACGAATTAACACCTCAGAGCACCATCACCTTCTGATGGGAACATACAAACAAAATGTATATGAAGCTCTAACAATATTATTGTATGGATTGCTGAAATGATGCATCGATTTCAAGCTAACTGTGTTTATGTGCAGTTATTGTTGTCTTGGAGTAATGTTGCTTTCTCTGCGATCATCCTTTAGAGTCTCTTTGTGGTTCACAGCAATACAGTACATCTGCTGATCTATGGAGGACAGTCAATTTTTTAAATGAATATGTACTTGTCATCTTAGGACTATTTATTATGCCTTGTTTTAGTGGCAACAGTTTGAGTGTGTGACAGCTCATAAATTCGTAAACTCACGCTGGCTGAAAAATGGTTTTCTATCAGCCACAGCGGTGCCTGGCAAGAGGTAGGAACTGGCACACTGTATATGCACTCACAACTAATTTATTAAACTCATGTCCACTTGCTGTGGAGCTGTGGAGACTATTAGATTACAATAGCCAAACATGTCTTTGTGTATCAAGAAGACGGCTACTGCTATTCATTTCAGTGGCAGGAAATCAGTCACCAAGTCAAGCAGATCTATTTACAGTTGAGTATGAGGCCTCTCATTAAATGGAAGGTTTTAATTAAGCAACTTTGAGCTGGACCTCCCATGATTCCCAGGTTTCAGGGTTAGATGACCTTCTCATCACTCAAGCCGGTGTACAGTAACCTACTGCACCGCAGGACAGACACATCAGGGCCTATCATGTGTTGGCTGCTGATGGCTGACACACTGCGCTGTTACTTGACACCAGGGAACAAACTTGTACTGAATTTAAGGGAGCCATACAAGTCTTTGATGAGACTGCAACACAACTATTATCAGTTCATGACATTTAAAAGAGATAAAGGTACTTGCAGAGATACTTTGGGGCTTGGTGATGCTTTAATACTAAAGTAGTATAAGGTTCAGTTTTAATATAGATAGCTAAACATCTTTAAAAACATTAGTTTGCTTCTGATGTACACCTCAATGAAGGATGAAAGCGCAGCAGCAGATATATGGGAACCAAGCATGTGGGGAGCTGTCCAGTATATGTGTGGTGCTGAAAAGTGTGTCGAGCCCCTTCAGCAAAAGGGAGGCAGCTTTGTGCTTACAGAAGCCACATTTCTGTAAAGCTGCTGTGCACAAATAACAACACTCAGCTCTTTTTTGTGCGTCTCTCTAAGAATTTCAGGGTGCCGGTTTGCATTTTTTACAGTACCTGCTGCGGATGCTCCGATCTGCTCCATGTGGGACTCCAACACATCCGGATCCCGCGAGCTGTACGAATTGAGTTCGGGGTAGAAACTGGAGCCGATATCCTCGGGCGGCATGTGTTTCCCTCTCGGGTAGCTGGATGCGATCTTAGGGTCCCAGTGCGGGACTAGGATGTGATCCCAGTGAATGTATTTACCGTCCATATGTGGGTTGCCGTACCACATATAGTAGAAAATATGAACATCATAAAATATGGTCCCCTCGGGGCCGGTGTTAGACAACACGGCTTTGGCGTTGCTGCCAGGCGGACGGGCTTGACCCGGGGAAGCGGTCCCATCACGGGACACTGAGCGCCGGTCCATCTTTCCTCCGATCATCGGCAGGAGCTCCAAGCCCGGAGCCAAGTCCGAGAAACCGTCACTGGGCTTCAGGGTCCTCAGTCCCATCATGGTCCCAAAGATGAACAGCGTGAAAAGAAACAGAGCTATGCACGCTTTCCTCCTCAGTCGTGCCATGGTTGGCTAGAGTGGCAGGAGCTGCATACGGCGCGGACGGAACCAAGAGCGCAAATTAAACCTGCGTCCTGCTTCTGCGGCCAGATGGAGTTCACCACAAACTACGAGCTACTCTCCGAAGTGTTTCTCGTCGCATCGGCTAAAAGACGAGTCTACATGATTGCACTCAAACCAGAGAGGACTACCCTACGTAGTTGATTAAGGAATTTTTAACTTTCTTCTGTTCCGCATTTCGATGAGCTGCGGATTTTTTTTGTTATCACTGCAACGCGGATCTATACCTCTAAGATAAGCCCGAGCTACTATTTTTTTGTTTTAAATGCCACAGGCCAGTTATTCCTAACTTAAGACTCTCCTCTCATATTTCTTTTCCACGCTGTCACTCACTAAGACGCTTCACCGCTCCCGTGGACCGCCCCCGCCCATCAGCTGCTCCATCCACCTGACTTCCGACAAAAAACGGTGTCTAAACGCAGGGGTGATGCTCTCTGTTGGTCATGCCCGGAGAGGCTTTAAAGCCTCCGTGCTTGGTTGGCTGGTGTTTCCTTATGGATGCCAAAGAGGCGGGACCCTTCTCGTGCACCGTTTCTAAAGTTTACTCAAAAAGAAAAGACTAAAAAGCAACATGGTTATACCCGTTATATAGCCTACTGTTCTTATCAACAGGTCTGAGGCCACAAGACTATGACTCATCTCTTAAAGGTGACATTAACTACTATTTTCTCATAAAGTTGTTTTCACAGTTAAACCTAAGGTATTAGATTTTTATTTATTTTAGTCGGCACTTTGTACTGAGACTTATACTGACATCTAGCGGTCATTTTATAGAACACTTTGTGTTGTGCTAAAAAGTGATTTCTTATGTTTGTTGTTGTTGTTATATCGAATACCTTTATTTATATTGACAAATAGACTGTCGTAAATAGGATTTATGAAGGACTGATCTCTCAAGAAAAAGACATCTGTAATTCCAGTGAGATTAGTCTTTCACTCTTTCTTTATTTTCTTTTTACAGGATAAATAAAGGATAAAACAGTCAAAAAGATTCATGGCTTTTACCTTGTGATAGGAATGTTCTTCCTACCTCAAAAAGACTTGCTATCATTCACGAGAGATATGTTGGACTTTCTTTTTTTTT